TCCCCACCTCTCCCCACCTCTCCCCACCTCTACCCACCTCTCCCCACATCTCCCCACATCTCCCCACATCTCCCCACATCTCCCCACATCCCCCCCACATCTCCCCACACCTCCCCACACCTCCCCACACCTCCGCACACCTCCCCACACCTCCCCACGTCTCCCCACACCTCCCCACACCTCCCCACATCTCCCCACACCTCCCCACACCTCCCCGCACCTCCCCACGTCTCCCCACATCTCCCCAAATCAGGTCCTCGTCCTGCACGGCGGCCTCTCCCGAACCAACTCGGCCACGCTCGCCCAGATCTCCGCAATCGACCGGCGGCGGCCGATCCCCGTCGCGCCCGTCAACGCCGAGGACATGCTCTTCTTTGATTTGATGTGGGCGGACCCGCGCGCCGTCGACGGCGTCGGACTCTCCGCAGTGCGCGGGGCCGGCTGCGCCACGTTCGGACCCGACATTACGCGCCGTTTCTGCGAGATCAACCGGCTACGGATGGTCATACGCTCGCACGAGGTGCCAAAGTCGCTCTCGGGCGTGCAGGTGTGACCAGCGGCTCCCCACATCTCGCCAAATCTCGCCACATCTCGCCACATCTCGCCACATCTCGCCACATCTCGCCACATCTCGCCACATCTCCCCACATCTCCCCACATCTCCCCACATCTCCCCACATCTCCCCACACCCCCCCACATCTCCCCACACCCCCCCACATCTCCCCACATCTCCCCGCAGGTGCAGCACGCCGGGCGACTCGTCACCATCTTCTCCGCCTCAAACTACTGCGGCCGCATCGGCAACACGGGGGGCACGATGCTGCTCACGCCGGCGCTCGACTACCAGCTGATGGAGCATTGGGCGCCGACAGTCTCTGAGCTATTGGTCATGGAGGCGGAGGAGGAGGCGGAGAAGGCGCCGTCGACGCCGAAGGAGAACCCGTCGGAGAAGCGCAAGTCCTTCTCGGCGCAGGCCAACGAGCTGATGCGCGCGGACGTGCTGCAAAAGATGAAGGAGCTCGTCTGCGAGCACAAGCCGGCGCTGGCGCAGTTCTACGAGCAGCACGCGGGCGGCAGCGACATCATCACGCGCGAGACGGCGATCGGCGGGCTGCGCGAGGTTGTGAGACACACACGCACGCACGCACACACACACGCGCGCGCACACACACACGCACACACACACACACACACACACACGCACGCACACACACACACACACACACACACGCACACGCACGCACGCACACACACACACACACACACACACACACACACACACACACACACACACACACACACACACACACACGCACGCACGCACGCACCCCCCCCCCCACACACACACACACAACTCATCCACACACACCGGGCCTTGCACTTTCAATGCCGTGGGGCTCCTGTCAGTAGGGCTGTGCCTGGGCCCTTCCTCCACCAACTAGCAAGTGTGTGAGGAGAAGTGTACCTCACCTCACCTCAGGTTGTGCCGACCCCGCTGCCGTGGGACGACTTCCTGACCGAGCTCGTCGGCGACGCGGCGCTGCTCAGCGACGAGGACACAATCTCCCACAATCTCCCCCACAATCTCCCACAATCTCCCCCGCAATCTCCCGCAATCTCCCCCACAATCTCCCGCAATCTCCCACAATCCCCCGACGAGGACGCCGCCGCCCACAGTCCCCCACAGTCCCCCACAATCTCCCACAATCTCCCACAATCTCCCCCCCCCCCCACCCACACACCCCTCTCCCGGCTGTAGGACGACGCCGTGCGCTTCCGCCTCTTCCTCGGCCGCTACCGCGTGGCCCACGAGCAGGAGGGGTGGCAGGCAGACCTGCTTTCGTCGCTGCACGATGCGCTCACCCACAAGGACCGCAACCCCACCTCGCCCCTCGGCACACATCGGGCTCTCTCCTGACCATCGCCCCATCTCGGCCTCCTCTCGGCCTCCTCTCGGCTTCCTCTCGGCTTCCTCTCGGCCTCCCCTCGGCCTCCTCTCCACCTCCCCTCGGCCTCTTCCCCAGGACCTCAAGAGCACACTCGCCTTCTTCGACCCGAACGAGGACGGCGTGGTCACGTATGAGGAGCTCGTGGAGGCGCTCGTCGACCACTCGATGGGCTGGACACGTCCGCGACACGTCCGCGACACGTCCGCGACACGTCCTCAGGTGCTGGTCGACCACTCGATGGGTATCCCCGAGGCGTCGCTCAAGGCGCTCGCCGCGACGCTGCTCGGCCAGGGCCAGACGCAGCTGCCAACCTCCTCCCTGCTCGCGCGGCTGCACGTCACGTACCGCGACGTCACCGCCGAGGCTGCCGACGCGGCGGCCGAGGTGCGGCAGGCGCCCGATGTGGGCGGAGCAGCTGCTGGCCACCGTGGCGCGCCAGTGCGCCCTGCGCAAGCGCGACTCGGAGCAGCTCTTCCGCTCCTTCGACTCGAACGCGCGAGAATCGCCCCGAGATGGCGCGAGAGGGAGGCGCAAGAGACGGCCGAGGT